GTCCCCCGACCCCCCGTCGGCCCTGGCCAGTCCTGGCTCCGGCCTGTCGTCGCCGGGCCCCAAGCCGGGGGACAGCGGCTACGAGACCGAGACCCCTTTTTCCCCCGAGGGAGCCTTCCCCGGTGGGGGGGCGGCCGAGGAGGAAGGGGTCCCTCGGCCGCGGGCTCCCCCCGAGCCGCCCGACCCCGGAGCGCCCCGGCCACCCCCAGACCCGGGTCCCCTCCCGCCCCCCGGGCCGCAGGAGAAGCCGAGCTTCGTAGTGCAAGTGAGCACCGAGCAGCTGCTCGAGTCCCTGCGGGAGGGCGTGACCAGGAACCTCCTGGGGGGCCCGGGGCCCCCGGCGCCCAGGAAGGCGGGGAGAGGCCCCCCCGCGAGCCGAGAGACAGCTCCCCCGGGCCCGAGCCCGGACCCGCCAGCCCCGGGCAGCGGCGCCCAGACAGCCCCCAGCCCGAGCCTCCCCGGGAACGGGAGCGGGGTGACAGCCTCGCCGAACGGGGACCAGGCAGCCCCGGGCCCGGAGAAGACGGCCGAGAACGGGGGACTGGGGTCCCCAGAGAGGGGCGAGACAGTGCTGGAGAATGGGGAGCTGACGCCCCCAAGGAGGAAGGCGAGGCCCCTGGAGAATGGGGAGCTGAGATCCCCAGAGGCCGGGGAGAAGGCGCTGGTGAATGGGGGGCCGACGTCCCCAAAGAGCCGGGGGGAGAAGGCGCCCGCGAATGGGGGCCTGAGGCTCCCCAGGAACACGGGGAGCCCACCGGAGACTGGGCCTTGGAGGTCCCCGGGGCCCCAGGAGAAGACGCCCGGGACTGGGGGTCCAGCCCCAGAGACCTCCCTGGAGAGAGCCCCCACCTGCGGCCAGGGGCCCTGGGCCCAGAACGGCTTGGAGACGGCCCCTGGCCCGCGTGGCCCAGCCCCCAAGAACGGGACGCTGGACCCCGGGACCGAGAGGAGAGTCCTCGAGACTGGGAGGCTGGACCTCGGGAATGGGGGCCGAGCCCCGGCGGACGCGGGGATGGGGGGCCCAGGCGGAGGCCCCGAAAACGGCGCGGACGCAAAGGCCGGATGGGGAGACAGCAAGAGGCCACCGCCGCTGCCGCCGCCACCGGAGGCCCCGGCGAGGAGGCTGGAGCCAGTGCCCCCGAGGGTCCGGCCGGAGGTGGCCTCCGAGGGAGACCCCCCCGGGGTCCCAGACCCCAGGGCCGACGGAGACACAGCACCCAGCGGAGACGGGGACCCCCCCAAGCCCGAGAAGAAGGGCCCCGAGATGCCACGACTGTTCTTGGACTTGGGCCCCCCTCAGGGGAACAGCGAACAGATCAAAGGTGAGGAGGCTGTGGGGGGCAGTGGAAGTCAGGCTTGGGGTGGCAGGAGCAACAGGTCTGCCTGGACCGGGCCAGTAATGAACGCAGAACAACCTGGGCCTCCATTCCAGCCCTGTCCCGCCTTTCCGCCGCAGCCTTGGGCAAATGTCTGAGCCTCAGTTTCCCTAGCTGCTAAGATCCAATGACAAGGGAGGACATCTATTTGATAGGCAGCCACAGAGTGCAGTAGGTTAGGAAGTGCAAAACCTTTAACTCAGGCCTCAGACACCACTGCCAGTGCCTGCTTTGTTCTCTTAGGACCTTTGGACCAGGGGATCCAAGTCAGGTGTCCATGGGGCAGAGTACAAGGGAAGCTGGGAAGGGAGAGGGGGTGTGAGGTGCTGTCTGGGTGCTGTGGACCCTGTCTCAGGCAGTCCACTTGACTTTCTCCCTGCTAAACCAATGCTCTGGTTTTCCTTTTGACAGTGTAGGGATCTGAACTCAGGGACTCACAGTTGGCTAGGCAGATGTACTACTTGAGCCATGCCCCTGACCCTTTAGTTGCTGTTCACATACGGTCTCCTGTTTTGGCCTAGATTGACCTCAGACCACAATCCCTCTTCCTCTTCCTCCCCCACAACTGGGAGGACAGGCTTGTACCACTGTGCCTGACTTATTTGATGAGATGGGGCTGGCCCAGAACCACAAAGCCTTCTGATCTCTACCTCCTGAGTAGCTGGGATTAAAGGCACACATCACTGAGCCTGGCCCACACTCTTAGGATTTCAAAACTGGTTACAACCAATTCAAAGGAAACCAATGGGGTGGGGCAAGTAGGGCAGTCAGGGCCCCAGGCTGTCACCTGTGGTCTCTGCTCTACTTTCCAATAAGCTGAGGTGTCTCCCCAGTGTGTCAGGCTCTGGGCCACCCACGGCTGGGCTCCAGGGAAGCTCCGATCAGGCCCTTACCCAGGCTACCGTACACAAGGCCTTTTGTCAGGGCCTAGGAATTTGAACATTACTGTTTCTAAAGGTGTGGGAAGTGTGTGACCAGCTGTGTCTGGAAGTGGGAAAATGTTGGGGCTGAGTAGCTAAGATGCCCCAGAGATCTGGAGTCCCACAAATACCGTGGATGTGCTTGGGGCCTGGGGTTGACCCCTTGGATGAGCCAGACCAGTCCAACACCGACCACACTGGCGCAGACACACAGCACATGGCCTGACACCTGGTCTCCCAAGGCTGGAGGGAATGCGGGCATTTGGACCGCGGGAACAGCATTTGCAAAGGGGCAGCTTGCCCCTGGGGTTGGAGGTCTCCACAGCTGGGGTTGGAGGTCTCCACAGCTGGGGTTGGAGGTCTCCACAGCATGAGGCATCAGCTGGTCCGGGACACCTGGGCCGGGGGGGGGGCGGTTATGGGGAGAACCTGGGCAGGAGACGGAGAGCAGCGGGGCATCCCTACTACCCCCCTCCCGCCCTCCCCAGCAGCTAGGTGGGAGAGCCTGCCTCGGTTTCCCCAGGGCGAGGCTCACCGATCTCTCCCCTCGCAGCCAAGCTCTCCCGGCTGTCGCTGGCGCTCCC